ATTGATCGACTGCAAAAATTGACAATTAATTTTAATTTGTACGATGAAGATGCACTCAAACTTTGTAAAAAATTCAAAAGCAAACGGTTTGATAGGATTTATGTGAATAATCTTAGTGATGAATCATATATTGGTATTAAAACTACGTTAACCGAATTCCAGCCGCTTCTAAATGTCAACAATCCACATGCGACTCTAATTACGCTTTTCAAGGATTGGTTGAATTCTATTCCAGAATCTGATCAAGGTAAAGCAATGGAAGACGTTATCTATAAAAAGATTGATAAATATAAACGTAGATGGGCACATAATTTTTCATTACTTAATGCTAATAATGTAATGACCAACATTTCTAATTTCATGATTGAAGTTTCTAATGAAGTTAATGCATTATACGATCATGCTCAAGAATTTGAAAAATATATGGAAGCGAAGGGCGCGAATGAAACTGCGAAAAAAGTCGGATTACGTCGTCGAGCGATTCATAGAATTGTACCTAAGAGAATTGGTGTCAGTATGAAAGAAGATGAACAAAACAATGTGCTATCGCTTGAAGATGATAGAGATAGACATTTACGGTTTGATGTCGGAATGCACACATTTTTAGAACGTTATGCTGAATGGGAGATTGTAGCTTAACGTTATACTGAGTGGGAGAATGTAGCTTAACATTATGCTGGGTGGGAGATTGTTGCTTAACCTTATGTCATCACTCGTTGCTTCATTTGCAGTCATGTAATTAAAGATTTCTTAAACAATTGCGCAATTAATAAAACTAAAATTGATAAAGCTTGAATTGAGATTTGTTATTTGTTGCGAATTTATATTTGGATGTTAGTCAAAGCTGTTTTTTTTTTTTTTTTTTTTATTTGCATACTTTACGTCGATTGATACATTATTTGTAAAACTCAAATAAAAATTTGTCGCCTAATCTAATCATACGATATCTTTGTTCAAATCCTTTAAAAATAAAAAAGTTGACAAAACTTTTAAGACATTGTAATTTATATTGATATATAAAATTCAAATAATCCATTTTTTTACAAAAATCT